GCTGCTGCTGCAGCGGCAGCAGGTGCTGCTGTGGCTGACGATGCTGCAGCAGCTGCTGCAGCAGCACTTTCGAGGCAGGCAGGAGGAACTGTGAAGGAAACAGGAGGCCGTAAGGTTAGGAAGCACACAGGACGCGCTGCTCCTGCTGCTGCTGCTGCGCTGCTGCTGCTGCTGCTGCTGCTCTGAGGCTGCACAGTCGTGGCAGTGGCCGCAGCAGCTGAAAGGCTCCGCTGCATGCTGCCTTCTGGCCCGGCTGCGCGCGCTTTGTGGAGAGTTGGGGCCTCTAAATGAAGCGCTAAACCCTCAGGGTTTAGGGTTTAGGGTTTAGGGTTTGGGGGAAGGGCTTGCGGGCTGGAGAAGGAAAGGCGAGCCCTTAGTTAGGGGGTTCTGCTGCAGGAAGTGTGGCCCGCTGCTGCAGCGGCGGGCGGCGCAGCAGCAAACAATTGTCGGTTGAAGTTTGGAGTTACTTGAAAGAACTAATTAAGTGGAACTAAAGAAAGAAAAGCGAAAAGGGTTTGAAGGGGCGCAGAACCCCGGGGGCAGCCAGGGGTGGTTGGTGGGGGCTGCAGCGATTTGCGCTTGAGAAGAAGCAGCAGCCCGGTGCTGCTGCTGCTGCTGCTGCTGCTGCTGCTGCTCTCGAGTTGAATGAACTGCGTTTCGCTTTTGGGGACATCTGAGAAGGAGATTGTTTCGCGGCGACGCGTTTCCGCAGCAGCAGCTCTGCGCGCGGACACCCCACCAGCCTCTGCAGCACAACAGCGGCAGCAGCAGCAGCAGCAGCAGCAGCGGCTCTGTGGCCTTCTCCTGCCTCGTCTGTTTGGCTTCTCCACGATGTCCGACGAGAAGAAAGACGGCGAAAACCCCGAAAAGGAGCACATGCAGCTGAAGGTCCGCTCTCCGGTGAGTTCCCCTGCTGCTGCTGCAGACTCGCTGCTGCAGACTTGCTGCTGTAGACTTGCTGCTGCAGACTTGCTGCTGCAGACTTGCTGCTGCAGACTTGCTGCTGCAGACTCGCTGCTGCAGACTTGCTGCTGTAGACTTGCTGCTGCAGACTCGCTGTTGCAGACTTGCTGCTGTAGACTTGCTGCTGCAGACTTGCTGCTGCAGACTCGCTGCTGCAGACTTGGTGCTGCAGACTTGGTGCTGCAGACTTGGTGCTGCAGACTTGGTGCTGCAGACTCGCTGCTGCAGACTTGGTGCTGCAGACTCGCTGCTGCAGACTCGCTGCTGCAGACTTGCCGCTGCAGACTTGCCGCTGCAGACTCGCTGCTGCAGACCCGCTGCCCCCCGCCGCCCCCAGCAGCAGCAGCAGCAGCAGCAGCAGCAGCGCGCGTGCGCGTGCGCGCAGGACGGCAGCGAAGTCTACTTCAAGATAAAGCGGCGCACGAAGCTCGAGAAACTCATGACGGCCTACTGCAACCGCCTGGGCCAGTCCCTCGACTCCGTGCGTTTCCTCTACGACGGCGAGCGCCTCAAGCCCGACAAGACGCCCCTCGACCTGGGCATTGAGGACGGAGACGTCATCGACGCCATGGTCCAGCAGACCGGGGGGGCCTCCCGGGGGCCCCGGGGGCCCCGGGGGCCCCGGGGGGCCTCGCGGGGACCTCAGGGGGCCCCCGGGGGTCCCTAGGCGGCCCCAGGGGGGCCCGGGTG